AGTGTGAGTATAAGTTGATGTATGTTATTGTCAGAGGCCAGCAAAATGGAGAGACATTAAAATTGCTCCTTTGTGAAAAAAAAAAAAATCTTATAGCTCAGAGAAACTGGAGAGCCTCATTTGTATGTTTTGTTGGACCTCCCGAACACAATGGAAAATGGAAGCAAAGGTCAGTGTTAAGTCTCCCCTGGCTTTTGTACTTTAAACAACAATATTGTATTGATCTGTCCTGAATGATAAACACAAATGTGTTGGTAAAACACAGTCTCTTTTGACCTTTAGCAATTACTTCTACATGGCTTTACCAGTATTGCAGATGAAAAAAATAACAATGTCCAATTCATTTTCTTTTCTTTCTATTTCTTTGTGTGTAACTAAACCCTACACCTCTCTCAAGTACAGCTAGCTCACAAAACAAAAGAAGATGTTTGGCCAATTTCACAGATTCTGCTGTTTACAATGTAATGTATGGTATTGCTGTGGCCGTGCTGTTGTATAATACTGGGTCAAACAGATGGGGAGACCTTAGAACTAAAGACATTTGAAAATGTTTTTGAACTTTAAATACATGTGGTTCTTCACTATGTAAATTCCCTAAGATATTGAAGTGACTGTTATGTTGTATATATGTATTGTTGTGTTTTATCTTAATGTGTGCATATGTGTAAATGTCTCTGTTGATTGTATATCTATAGGATATACATATGTGTATACATGTTTGTATACATATGTGTATATTTGTATTATTGTATTTTTGTATTCGGGATTGTTGGAAACGTTATTTCGATCTCTGTCTGTACACACAAACTGAAAGATTGACATTAAAGTTGACTTTGACTTTTGGATGTTCTGCCCAACCACATGCTGCGTCTTTGTTTACTCCATAACATTAAATCTACCAGCTACAAATGTGATGCAAGATATCTCATGGACTTGGAAGATACTAAGATTGTACCGGGTTATAAATAAAATAGCAAACAAAATCACAATTCAGCCTCAAAATAGCCAGAGAGAGAACATCCCAGATGCCTGCTTATAGAATTGCAGTTATCTGCTGGTGAGCTTAACTGGGTCTAAGTTGTCCGGCAGAGTCGAAGTGTGTTGTGATGACCCGTGATTAGACCCTCTTGGCCTTTCCTCTGACTCTAAGAGGGTGTGAGATTACAACCCTGGACTTGTATGGAGGAACTACAATCACTACTAAGCCAACCTAGCCAAACTTAGAAACACAATTTAACTGACTTTTTATTGTGAGTGCTTTTAGAAGCTGTTAAGAACATTTAATTGTGTTTTAATCAATTATATTAGGATGATATAATGTCTAATCTAATTGAAATCTAAAACATACACACTCAGTTCAGTCAGAGTGACTGAGACGGTGAAAAGCGATGCCCTGCAGGCTCAAACCTCTTGACCTGTGGAACGACTGCAGGGAGGTGATGATAGAGCCCTGATAGGGGCCAGTCACTGGGGCCTCAAGGCACATCCTGGACATGTCTTTCAGGCAGCAGGGCTCTGAACACAGCCACAAATACACACACATGATCACACACACGTAAGCCATATCTCCAAGCAGTTGGAGGTAGAATAAGAGGAGGCACTTTGGATTTATAAGCAGAGGGGTACATATTATCATCCTGGCAGCTGTGGAGGGGTATCATGGTGGTCCTTCAGACACAAAATCTGTTGAACTTTTCTTTGTGTAATATGCTCTACCATGGTCATTTTTCTTTACTCAACTCTTACTTTGAATTCCTCTGTGTATTATTCAGAACGATATCAATATATTCACTGGCTAAGATCAGCCATGCCAAGCATTCACATCCACTGACATTTAGATGTAATTCAATCCTTAGGAAAACACATGTTTTTCATAAATGATATGATTACACACCTGAAGGCTGTTTTCTTCATTGTAGTTTTGCAGCTTTGAATTTATATTTTCTTATAATAATGCACTTTGTTTTAATTGGAATAAAAGGCCATTCAATTGATTCTTGAAAGGGTGCAGGCCAGAACAACAGCATGTCTTGTGTGTGTGTGTGTGTGTGTGTGTGTGTGTGTGTGTGTGTGTGTGTGTGTGTGTGTGTGTGTGTGTGTGTGTGTGTGTGTGGTCTCTCTACACTGCTCTTTGTGTGAGGCCATGCTTCATATTTTCATTTAAGCTTTGATCACATTACTGCTATTCTCACCATATTAATGTTAGTCAATGAATAGATTAAATATTCAATTAAGCCCAATGTGTGTGTGCGGCGTGCGTTAAAGTGTTTTTGTGTGTGTGTGTTGATGTGTAATGATGTGTAAATATATTTATGGCTCAGGGTCACAGTGGTATTAACCTGACCCAGACTCTGTCTCTCTGGGGAAGCTCCGTGCTGCTGATTGTTCTGTGTTTAAGTCAGCTTTTCAAGGGCCTTCTGCTAGAACCAGAGCGTGTGTTTGACAGGATGCTTGTTTGAAAAAATGGAGGAAGTTAAGAAAAGGTTTCATAAGTTTAAGGGTATTGCTTGGACCCCCTGTCTTGAGACTATCATGCTGCGCAGCTCTGGTGGACATTGTCTTTCAGAAAGTGACATAGAGCTTATATGAATCCCTTTACTCAGCTAACTCGCAGGAGGACTACACACCGCTGCTCACTTACGTGCTGCTTTTACCAAGCGGGCAAGGTATTCAGTTAAATGTCCCATCAGTCAGGCATATGCCAAAGGCCTACATCTTATTCAAGTTTTTAAACCTCTAATTGGTAACGTTTAAAAGGCGTTTAAGAGTGCCCTTTCTTCTCCCTTTTCTCATTTCCCATTTAATGTGTTGTGTCAAAGTCTATTACCTCAGTTGGACGTTTCTGTCCCTTAAGTTGAAAAAGGGAAGGGGAAGGGGGGGGGGGGTAGAGAAAAAGAGAGAGATGGAGAGAGTGAGAGAGGTAGAAGGGGGTTGGGGGGGGAGAAAAAAAAGAGAAGCCATCAGCTGAGGTTTGCCAGGTCGATAAAGCTTTTAGATTTGGAGATGTTTTCAGGGGGAGCCCATTTCCTGCGGCTAAGAGTTGTTAATGGAGCTTAAGGAATTATCTTATGACTCTCCGTTTGAGAGCAGTTTATTCCAGCCCGGACCCCGCTCCTGTGTCGGAGTGGCTGAATATGCTGCTGTCAACCCCGCTTAATGAAAAGTAACGCGTCGCTGATTACAGTTTTATTTGGTCTCTATGTAAAAAGCCCCTGTTAATTTACCATCGCGCTCCCTCTGTGTGTTCGTATTTGCCACGGCTGAATGATTTAGTTATAGCCGGCTTCTCTCTCTCTCCCCCCCTCTCTCTCACACACACTTCGTGTCTCTTTCTCTCTAATACAAAGCCACTTGGTTCAGAGGTCTAATAAAATCTGTCTTCATGCTAAATTAATTAAATGTCGAGACTCCATTGTTTTATCTGTGAGGCCTTTAACTCTGGCCTAATTTTTCTATCAGTGGCCATGAAAAATTAAACACAATCTTGCATGTATAGGTTAATAAATATCCTTACACCATGGAAACGGAGAAAAAAACACACCTTTTTTATGTGCATCACCTGTCAGATATCTTTTCCCTGACAACGTTTTCTCTGTTTATTTTGCGGTCATGTCACTGTCCTTTGGAAGTGCTGCAGGCAACGTTTTACGAGGCAGGAAGGCAAATAAAAACATACATCCTGAGTCCGATTTATAGAAAATCCCTATTGTCCACTACTGCACTTTTTTCCATGAGATGGGGGGGCTTTTACCATTAAAATGCATCACTGAACCCCCCCTTCTTCCCCTTTCCCCCTCTCTCGCAGGACAGACGGAGTCCCCCGAGAGCTCCACTTTCACCATTACTGTCAAGTACCCTTGACTCCTTTCTTTTTGCCCTTTTATCTACAACAACTAATTCGAGTTCCTTTGCCCTTTTCACTTTTAGACGACGTGAGTGCCTCCCCTCGTAAAGCCCTTTCACTTTCCAGAGGGAGGAATCAGCATCCAGGCTGTTTTTCTGCAGGGCCCCGTCTCGAGGAAATTGAGGGGTTAGTGTCAAAACGAAAACTCTTCACTTCAAATTATTTCGCAGGGCCTCGGTTTTGAACCCGTTAATGGACGTATGGCGAATAACTTACCCTTTTGACAGCTGCATCATGGACGGTGTTGAGATGTTTCGATAATATTATCTGAGAGCAGAGAGGGGAAATCAATAGCCTGACATGAAATATGACTGCGAACATCCCAATTACAGCCTGTTTAGAGGGAATTAATGAGGCAGATCTTAGATACTGATATTGTTCTGTCTTGAGGGTTGAGCTGCCTCATTTTCTCCCTGTCACTAAATTAGAGTGGGTGTTTTTTTTTCTGAGAAATAACACACATATGTTCGATTGTGCATGTTTTAATGGGTTCAGAATGAATTGAGCTGCTTTGATAAATCAGATTGCGTTTAAAAAGGCGTATTAGGCCTCATGTGTTCTAGTTGCAAAGTTGTGTACTGAGTTTTAGATGAAACAAATGTAATTGATTGGATTTCAGCACCATAGACAGCGACTCGACCCAACTTCAGAAACGGACTGCTTTTATTTTCAGTGAACAAAGTTGAGACGCTCTCATCCACCTCATAAGAGAGCTGTGCATTTGTGAGACTTTTTTTTCATTTAATAGTGATACTCAACTGTTGAGACCTAAATAATATTCAATTACATTTGCATGCGCATAGTAAAGAAAAATCAATAAGGAAAGGAGTCATGTAAACCTTAGGCCTATTTTTTCCCAAAGATGTAAACTTTTAGTTATACATTTCAATAAGTACTGTGCGTGCGTTAACTCAAATAAGCCAAACCGATCCGGTTATGTCACTTGTGTAACGCCGATGTAACAGTATACCTTTAAAAAAACGAATAAAACATAAAGAGGAAACCATGGAGACGAAATAGTATTTTCCACCCGACTTTGAGTCAGTCATAAAGAGTTTCTCCTCTTGTTTTGCAATAAAAGGGTCTTTTGGTTTTGTTAGGAGCAGAACAGTTTGTTGATAGTTTTTGGGAAACTCATGGCACTGTCTTTGGGGGAGTCTTGGTGGTGCTGCTGCAAGGCGGAAGTGCTCCTCTCAGCCTCCAGGAGCGCGCCTTTGGTGTTCGCGCTCCAAGAGACGGTGGTGTTGGTCAGGGCCTGGCTCAAAGTGCTGTGCCTGAACAACGGGTCGTGGAAAACCCCGTCCACCCAGTTTCTCAGGGTCGTGACCGGCGAGTCCTGCCTGTTGTCCAGGCCGGTCACGGGTGAGGTAGCTATGGGGGGCGGGCTGAGGGAGGAGGGCGGCGGCTGGCACCTCAGCATACAGGACGGATACTCAGTCTGGTTCAGGGAAGTCGCAGTTTGGGCCAAAGACCAGATGCGAGGCTTGCCGTCTAAAATCTGATGCCCCTGTTGCTGCTGCTGCTGCTGGTTATAACATGCCTTCGCCAGCTGTCTGCTGTCCACCTGGAAGTCTTCCGGGTTCGTTTTGAGACAACTTTTGCTCAAGTCCTGTTCCCCTCCCAGAGAAACAGGGATGGAGATTTTCAGAGACGAGTCCTTGATGAGGTGTTCTGCGGGGCAGTCACCCGTCGTTGACATGTGTGTGTTCATGTGGTAGCGGTGCTTCAGCTCACACTCCGAGTTCTCAGACTCCAGCGTGTCGAAGTCGTCCAAGTCGCTCAACTGGAGATCTTTATCAGGCCGACTTCTTGTCTCTGGGAGAAAGAGAACAGAGGGAGACGGCAGACATGTCAGTGAAGATGTGGAGTCAGATCTTATAATGGCATCAATCAAGTATTGAACTGCAATCACTCTTGAAAAATAAACAATTATAAAAACAATGTCTGCAGCCTGATAAATGAATCCTGAAACGTTTCATCATAAATCCACTGTAACCAGACGATTTTCTATGTTATCATTAATTATATTAATTTCATCCTATAACAAATAATGTCAGGATTTGTTGAAAACAAGTTGAAAAAAACAGAACATCATGTAACCTTAAATACAAAAAAATAGCTAAACTTATATTCAGTGATTTTACCTTCCTCCTTATCCCTTTGTGCAAATATAAGGTCTCTCTAATTGTAAAGTGTGTTATGTGGATGCAGTCCTTCTGCAGGCAATTCACATAAAACAGACGATAATGTTAATTTGATAAATTACAAATAAATGCCTTGGTTTCAGCAAGGTGGATATTTTAAGAATATAATGTAAAAGGCTAAACAAATGTTAAGGCCTTATTGTCCTTTGTGTCTTACCATCAGTATGATACAGTATTTAACAATAATACCCACATTTAATACATATTATTATTGGGACAGTTAGAACATACGGTACAAGTAATCAATACAATGTAAGAGTGATAGGATTGCCTCTGATACATGTCCTATTTTAATTGACATTCATAAAAACAAATATAAAAAGACAGTGTGGTAAAATCATCCGGGTTTACAGTGTGGTGGATGAAATCTAGTACATTTAAACAAAAGTTGTTAAGGTGTATGGTAACAGTACACTCGACAAAGCAGTGTCATCACAATTCTTGTTCTTTTGTGATTATTATTTATTCATCATTATCCATCAAAGTTGAATAACATAACATGTAACTGGATATTTGCTCTCTTTTCAAGCTACAGCTAAACATATTCGACCTGAGCTCCTCCAACAATGCAACATATATAATACAATAAAAAATGCAAAAAGTCTATATACATGTAAATAGAATAGGATATGTACAAGAACAGAATATTAAATTACATTTAAGACAAGTTGTCACAACCTAATAGTTCTTTCTTTATTTCAGCAGAGTAATAATGCATTGTGACACTTACCATCCTCATTGTTCTCGCTTTTGATCTGCTCCTCCTGAGACCCATCATCATCCTCGTCATATCTCTTCTCCTCTGAGCCCTTGTTTCTGGGCGGCCATGTCATCTTGTTCTCCTTCTTCAGCCTCCTCCTGGCGTTGGCGAACCACGTGGAGACCTGCGTCAGGGTCATCTTGGTGATGATGGCCAGCATGATCTTCTCCCCTTTAGTCGGGTACGGGTTCTTCCGGTGCTCCTGCAGCCAGGCCTTCAGGGTGCTGGTTGTCTCACGCGTGGCGTTCTTTCGCCTTGTTCCCCCATCCATGGAACCGTATCTGTTAAATGAAAAGAACACAATGGTACTGACAAGGTAAATACAACATGTGATGCTTGTTGGGTTACAATTTCTAAAGTGTTGGCATGGCAGTTTCTTTCTGAACACCATGACTGAGCCATCTGCTTGTTGGAATGTTGAAATGATTCATAGCACACTTTATACGCCTGAAAATCCCACTGATATATCTGTGCCCCTTCCTTATGGTGTGAACATTGAAAGTAGACCTCATGTCACTTAAGGGACACCATTTAGAAAAGACAGGGGAGGGGTAGGTTTATGAGTAGACCACCAATCTTTAAAATGTAATATTGTCAGTATATTGCATTTTTGTTCATAAGCCATTTTCTGTGAGAGCACATCAATTGCTAAAACCCCTCCGACATCCCTCTGTAACACCCACTCTGGTATTTAAAGTGTGCGATCAGTTCAGAAATATGTAAATGATCCTACCATGTTTGGACATGATGCTATATATTCCCCAATATCCCTATTAAAACCATTCTTAACGTGACGTAGGCTAAGACTCAATACGCACAAATATCAACCATAGAGCTCCATTTAAAATGCACAGTGTTGATTTTCAGTCAGCAGTGAGCTGTAAAAGTCCTCTCAAGGGAGGCTTTTATGATGCTTTTATAGCTCCGTACAGCTTAGTGCAGGTCAAGCACTGCTAAGGGAATCAAGAGGAGAGGAGCGCTGCACCTTTCTATACCCCTGCGCTGTTTTCTCGCAGATAAAATAGACTGTAAAATTGCTTTATTGAGTGTAATGATGAGCCCTCAGGTAAAAGGCGGGCGCAGACTGAGTGGTAATGCTGTAGGCCTGCTTGTTTTTCTGAGTACCACTAATTCTGTTTTGCCTCAGACTTTTAGGCCTTTTGCTGGCTGTGCATTTATTAGCATTCCTGCTGACACGTATTTGCCCTTCATACTGAATTTAGAGTGATTGGTAAAAGTATCTGGATCAAGGTTTAGGTAAGGTAAAGGATGTGAACTCCCAAAACAAATCAATATGACAATTTACTGATCAATTAAAACAACGCCATCAAAAAGCGTTAGATATCCAATGCATTTAGGTTTGAGCAGGCATCTTCATAGATGTTGGTACTATTCAGAAAGAGTGTTGATCACAGGTTATCATTTACGCTCTAAATTTCAAGCACATCGCAGGCTTAATCTGGACGTCATGTCATTATTGGAAAGACCTTTCAATATGGCAGGCATGCTCTTCACAACACTGAAGAGGCCTTGTGTCTTTTTCTGAAAGGGCCTCATCACCTCATCAGGAAAGAAATGTGTCATGAGATGAAGGTGATGACCCAGTGTTGCTGGATGTGATGAAAATGGCCCTGACCTCCGGAATAATTGATTTAACGCTGGGAAAACTAACCCTACACTAGTGCACAATACTTTAGGAGTTACTTTAGTTTTCATCGCATCTGGTTTTAGCCGCTTAAAACAGCAAATCTGTTTTACAGTGGGCGTGAAGGCACAGCTCAAGATGAGCTTTACCTCTAATTTGCAATGTATTTGATTACACATGCAGTTTATTCAAATAGTTCTGATGTTTGCATTGACAACTAATACTGTACAGAAGACAAATCAACAGAAACAACATACCTGTCATACTGATACTGTCCCAAGGTAGGATCATAAGGGTAGTAGGCTGCCTGGGTTATTCCCGCATGTGCAGAAGCTGTGGCATCTTTAGTATCGAATGCTCCCTGCAATCATACAAAGAAAAGAGTTTTCAAGATGATAGAAATAGGAAATCAACTTACATTAATGTAACTTGTGTGGTGCTGAAAAAAATATATTCATATTGGCTGTATCAACAAAATCTGCTTGTTCATGTGTTTCCTTCGGGATATTGGACAGCAGATTGTGGAGTAAATAAGAATTTTGAAATATCTTCTAAGACTTACTAAAAATGCACATTGTCTATGGAATGCACACTCTTTAAACTAAGACTTTCAAAATGTTTTCTTTTTTTAAAAGAAATAATCTTTAGAAAAAAAGTATAGAATAGTTTATTAACTTGTTTAGTGTTTCCTAGCAAATTGTTTAGTGTTTCCTAGCAAATCAACAATGAGTGTTTCAAGCTAAAAAAGTTGTAATATTATCTAGCTGAATTATTATAAGAAAAAGCATTATGAATACTTTCCCTATTTTCTATGTGAGCATTTCAACACTAAGATATCTGGGACAACTACATTTTTGGACTTAGAAGGCCCATGTGTTTCTGTTGAGAATTCATTTTTAATACATTTTTGGATATTTAGAAAATAAATAATCCTGAATAATAATCCTGGTACAAATTAATTGTTTCCAATAGAAAACCATATTTTCTTAATGTAAACGAATTGGTTTATGCCTTGGTTCATAACAAATTACTTGTCTCAAGGAAACTGGCACTATCTCTCATGATGAAAGGCATTTTCAATTACTAAAAAAAAGTTGTGTTGAATGATAATATGCGGATACATCAAGAACAGTAAGCAGTGTAGAGCATAATAACATAGGAGAGGTGCCTGGCTTAACTCTCAGCACCCTGCGGCTCCATTAATCAATGCCAAGAGGGATCAGATGAAGGGCTTTACCAGCGAGTAGAAAGCCGAGGCGTCCGTGCCGTATGTAACGTAGTTCCCATATCCCTGACTGCCGGTGTACGGGCTCCCGTACACGCCCAACGCGGCGGCCGAGCTGAGCTCATGCCTCGCCGTGGCCAGCAGCCGGCTCTCGTACACGGGACAGTAGACTGGTGTCTGCCCGGACGCGGCTACTCCGGAGTCGGCTATGGATCTGCCGGTGGACTCGCAGCAAGTGGTCAAAGAGTTGGTTGTCATCAGGAACTGGGTGGAAAATGTATCGTTTAATAAAGTTATTTGGCATGCTTTATTTGATAACTCATTGAAATAACATGTGATTTAGGCTATTATAGGCTACTGAGCACGTTTCAAAGTTAGTTCTTAACTTTTAGTTATTCTTACTGAAATGAGCATGATAGCGGATTCGAACATAGGCTACTTTACTTCACTGACTCCAAAAATAAACATGTCTTGACTCAAAAATAAATGATATTGCTTTTTCGGAAATAACACAAGTGAACTTGCACTTATATGTTTATTTTTAACTAGTCTTTAAAACTAAAATACAACATCAAATGACTGTTACTAATAATGTACAGGTTTTATTATTGTGTACATGTGCGCGTAAAACGTGTCCAAAACTAGCCGTCTGTTAGCTTTGATCCAAATGCAACACATGCCTTGCAAACATAAACGACATGTTTTCCCAACAACGCCCAGTAATACCCCAACTAATACCCAAATGATTTTTTATGGCTCAGAGCCAAAACCAAAGCAGCAGCTGGGTTATGGCACAAAACACACAGCGTGTGCCGAACAAGTTGGCATGTGTGTGCAGCGCATAAACATATGGTTGACATTACAGAGCGGCTATTATCTTTCAGAAATCAGTGAATGGGAGGTCGGGGGTCTCGCTGGTTTCTGATTTCCCTCTTCTTATCCTTTTTTCTTTCTATCGCCAGGAACACGTGTATAACTGGCTGAAACCTAATACCTTTCCGATACGTGAAAGAGCTGTGACAGCTTCTCTGATTCTTGGCCAAAATGCGTAAAAGGATCACGCTCAAATCGATAAGATAATCAATCGCAGCAATATCAAAACAAAACATACAATTTACTGAAAAAAGGTAGAAACACGGACTTACTTGTGGAGCAGACGAATAGGGATATCCAAATTGTGGATATGACAT